CTTAACCCAATTGAAAATGTCTTGAGCCCACCTGTGTATGTCCTTCCTGACAATTTGAATGGTTTAACCCAACTGAGAATCGTCTTGAGCCCACCTGTGTATGTCCTTCCTGACAATTTGAATGGTTTAACCCAAGTGAGAATTGTCTTGAACCCACCTGTGTATGTCCTTCCCTGACAATTTGAATGGTTTAATCCAATTGAGAATTGTCTTGAACCCACTTGTGTATGTCCTTCCCTGACAATTTGAATGGTTTAATCCATCTGAGAATTGTTTTGAGCCCACCTGTGTATGTCCTTCCCTGACAATTTGAATGGTTTAACCCAACTGAGAATCGTCTTGAGTCCACCTGTGTATGTCCTTCCCTGACAAATTGAATGGTTTAACCCAACTGAGAATCGTCTTGAGCCCACCTGTGTATGTCCTTCCCTGACAATTTGAATGGTTTAATCCAACTGAGAATTGTCTTGAACCCACCTGTATAATTTGAATGGTTAAACCCAAGTGAGAATTGCCTTGAACCCACCTGTGTATGTCCTTCCTGACAATTTGAATGGTTTAACCCAACCGAGAATTGTCTTGAGCCTACCTGCATATGCCCTTCCTGACAATTTGAATGGTTTAACCCAACTTAGAATTGTCTTGAGCCCACCTGTGTATGTCCTTCCTCACAACTTGAATGGTTTAATCCAAGTGATGAACAACTTTAAGTCCATTGGCTGTTTACCCAATAATATTGAAATTGAACAAAATATAAGGCTTGTTTGTAAAATTTGTAACAAAGATGGCACCCAAATGGTTAAACATCCCAAACTATGGTACTATAAATGAAATTGAGGAAACCTTTACAAATATTTCATATAAAAAACATTCATGCCTTAATGAAATTCACTGTACTTTAATGGTAATTTGATGAGGAACCTAGTTGGAAAACTGATTCCCATCACGCTTTAGCAATGAAATGGCTAGTCTTTACCGCAAAAATGAGTTTTTTTGAGTGAAATAATTTATATCTTTTAAAACATACTAATATGGACAATGTTTCTTATATTTCATAGATTGTTGATTCCTGAAGCTATATGCACAGCGTTTTGGTTACTTGTACACTGACAAAATATTGTGATCGATATAGTACAGTGTGATTGCGAAAACAACAAATTGAATATTTGTGTTTTATATCACGCTATGGATATACATACCTGATATTATTAGACATATCATTATTGTATTTATTTATTTAGTTATTCATACCGGTGGTAAAATTGAAAAAAAATTATTGTCATCACGATGATCTCCCTAAGGTGATGAGTATAAGATGACATGCAAAGTTTTAACTTGAGATTAGGTACCTCCTTTTCGTTTTAAGTTTGGTCATTCCTGAGTTTCCATCCAAGAATTCTGATATCGTAAAGTTGACTCTTGCAAAATGCATAATTTTAACTTTTAACACCATTTTGGTGCATATCACATTTTTAAGTATTTTTCTATCATTTTTTTTTATTTATTTTGGACCTAATACAAATAATTCTTAGTATTGTGCTAGGTGACAAAAGTTCACTTGGCTGCTCAACGGGTTAAGTTTTCAATCATTCTCAGGTTTTCACCTAAGAACACACCTGACTCACACTTGTGATAATAAGATAATCATATTAAAAAGGGCAAATAAAAGATGCCAAATGAATATGTAATATTATATATATATACTGTGTTGAGAGATGTCTCATCTGGAACTTTCCATATAACTCGAGTCTAATGATTATGCCCCCTTATTTTTCTTTCTTTTTTTTTTTTTTTTTTTTTTTTTTTTGAATTGCTTCTCAACGAAAAATGTAGGTCAGCGTAATGATTGCTACATGTCAAGTAGAATTGTAAACCAATCTTGACATGAAATCAATTTATCAGTCACGCGAGCAAACATCAACCATTACACAAAAAACAAGCCAATAAGTAATATTTTACCCTGCGTTAAATGATAAAAGTGATGTCTTGTTACTATGGTATTATTCTGCATATCAGAGTTAATCAGCCTGTGCCTGCCAACGTGGCATACACTAACATTTGTTTTTTGATGATCGTCCACAGTATTTTTACTACAGTGTTTTTTATTACTTTGTGACATTGTGCATTGAATTGTTTGCCTGTGTCTTCA